TACCAGTGGCAGCTCTTCTCTTCCAAAGGATGCTGCATATTTTCCTCATGGCACTTCCCACATGAAGATAATTTCCTTCTTCATTTCTTTGTTTTTTCCTCCTGTAATTCCATTGCTTGGTTTCATTCTGCAGTTTAGTGAGGCATTAACATTTTCTGGCTTGTCTAGGATTATCAAATCTTTGGTGTCCAAAACAGTGTTGACAATGTTGAATGGGTAACCATTTCTTTAAACAATTATTAACAGGGTAAGAGAGCAATATTAATATTTTGTTTTGGATTGTATTAGTGGTTTGAGAGTTTGATTACTTTCAGTCATGTAAGACCTGAAAATGTTAAATGGAAAATTATAGAAATAAACAATGAGTAAATTTATTTTGTTTCTATAATCATTATTTTTTATTATTATTGTTAATTTCTTACCATAATTTACATTTTTCCATAGCTGTGTATTTATAAGAAAAAACTGTATGTACATCTATATGCACAGATATACATATATAACCACAAATACACATATACACTATTATCTATAGTTTGAGACATTCCGGGAGTGTCTTGGACTATTATCTCCAGTATGGAAAATGGAGAACTACTAAATAAAAAATGTAATTGCTGATGCACAACACACTTTGTTCAAAAACAAGAAAAGAAGTATGAGGAGACAGAGTTCTGGGTTTCTTTTCTCTTTTCAATTCTGCAGTGGTGTTACTGTTATTAAATATCAGCTTCCTGGAAAAAAGTGAATTACTTGGAAAGATTTACAGATTTTAGTGTGGTTGTCACCCTGGCCTCTGGAAGGCAAGCACCTGGACAGAACCACTCCATCTTCTCAGGAAGTTGCCAGAGTGAAATGATTGAAAGCAGAGGCTGGGAATACAATGCACGCATCCTTCAGAGAGCTCCAGAGCGTCACACTGTCAGTTCACCTTTCAGGATTTGAGGTTCAAGAAGCTTGGTTATGAAGTTCAGAAGCTTGGTTATGAAGACTGATTTTTTTTTCTTCTCATTTTAGTGTTAATGAAAACAAAAAAAGATTGCTAGCTCTTGTTAAACTTAAGTACAGAGTTGAATAATAACATCCGAGTTTTATTTTCCTTTTTTTCTCCTCAACCATATTTTCCCCTTGCTATCTTACCTTGATTTGTTTACATAGTGTTGGTTTTCTTAAAAGAACGTGGCTGATACGGTTTACTAGAAACTCTATTTTGATCTGTTTATATTTAATTTCAAACAATAGCATCAACAATTCTTGAAATTCTTTGTTCTATAGAAAATAGATTATATAATTTAAAAGTATTCTTTTCAAGGCTGAAACATATTTACTTCAATGAAAAGGCATCCTGATGTGTACTCATGATTTCGAAGCATGCTGAATTTCATCAGTTTAGGAAATTCTCCATCAGGAAACAACTTTGTGCTTTTAAGAAATAATGGTTTTACTTTATCTACTTCAGATTTATTGTGCACATATATATTAAAAGATATGACTTCCTGTCTACCCAATATGTTTTTAAAATGGATTTAAGTGATTCAAATATGGATCAGACACAGGGATGTCTTGCAGTGGTTAAAAGTGTAGCTTCTAGAATTCAATCCTCGGATTATACTCCTGCTTGGATACTAAACACCTGGGTGACCTTAAGAAGGTCAATTAAATATTAACTGTGTGTGGAAAACATCCATAGAAGTGGTATAATAATAGAACTGACCCAACACAGATTCAGTGAGTTAATATTGTATAAAATATGTAGAATGGTACATACTACATGAATATATTGGGATGATCATAATACTAAGCAGAGGGGACAGTGGAGGAATTACACGTAAATATAGCTACTTCTGGCTTCCAGTGAGTTTTTATGTGTAGGTGTGTTTTCCTAGAGGTCCTAGCTGACTAGGTGCCCAAGAAGATAATCCATAACATTCTAGCATTTAAAAAGGTAGCTTCTGTAGTTCTTCACCTGCTTTTGGGTAAATCTTATATCATTTTCCTTTCCTGTTCTAATTTAAATTTCACAAATGAGTAGAAATAATATCTCTGAACATTCCATCCACTTTACTCACACCTTATAACCAAACTCTTGTCCAGCTGCTGAGACCTGACAGCTACTCATTCTGTGGCCCTACATTTATGTTGTTTGACATATTCTAGAAACTGATTAACAGTAACACTTCTGCAACAGAGGGTTTCTTGGAGGGTATTGACGTTTCGTAAAGTCAAGAGTGCACATCTAAATTGGCCTAAGAAGACCAATATTTTCCAACGTAATTTTGCTGAAAGTTCATATTGCTTCCTAAATCAATAGGAATGTCAAGACTTTCTACCACAGCTTTGTTATTCTAAGTCCTCAAAGATAATAACCCTCCATGCCTTGTCTGACCTTTGGCCCATTTCACTTAGGATTATAAAGCTAAGAAATGCTATAGAAAGGATAGTGCTAAAGAACTAAATCTCTTCCAGCCCACATTCCTTACTTAAAATGAGTTTGTGTGCATCTTTAAAAGAGATCTGTCATTCATTTTTTGTTAAAATTTACATAATTGGGTTCAGCATTCACATTTAGTTTGTGCATCATTCATTTGGTACTGTTCCCTTAAGGCCTTCAGAAGTCTCCCACTTGTCTACTTGAGGAGGTATAAACTCCCCAGCACTTGTCACGGGGACTCTAGGGGCCTGGCCTGGGCCTTGAACCTCAGTCTTGTTTCCTGTTTCCTGACTTCCTGTGTGATCTGATTGTCCAACCAAATAGCATTTCTGCATTTCCTCTTGCTGTGACTTTCTTCACATTGTTCTTTGTCAGAATTATGAAATGATTATAGCTTTGAGTGCATTTCTTTTGGAAATGTGCCTTCCACGTAATAAAGGCATGTTGCAAAAGCTGCCTTCTTGGTAGTTTTTCTGCCCTCCCCAGTCTGAGGGTGACTTCTTCCTTGAATACAAACACACAAAAGGACCCCTGACAGCTGTTGTTGCAGTCACATCTTACCTTCCATGGCATTACAAACTGACAGTGACATTACCATTATTCTCTGTAAGGGTTTATCTGTGTATTGAGTAGTGTATGTTTTTGTTTTAGTTTCCATGAAGATTATTGTGGTCATCAGACTGTCTTGTTTTGAAACTGTTTCATAATTACCTTTGATTAGTACAATGTGCTTTTCTTTTTATATATCTTAGAAATAAGCAATGATTATTTATTTAAAAATTAAGGGCTCTCATGATTCCTTTATATAATAGTTCAGGGCATATTGAGTGACTCTGGATTTGAGAGTCCTGGAATTGCCTTCCATTGTTTTCCATTTGAAACTGATGGACCTCTGATAAGCTTCTTTTCCTTTACCCAAAGAGGATTTCTTCGTGCTAGTTGCTTTTTCTAGGAGAATTACAGTACTCCTTGTCATTATTGGTAATTGGTAATCTATTTTTAGACTAAGGGGATTCTATAGTTCTTAGATTTTGAGTGTTTCTCTGACTGATACATTGTCTTGTTGTCTTTTCTTCTTTCCACTTAGTACTGCTTCCACCTAAGATTCAAATGATTCTAAAAGTCTATGAATATTTTTTTTTCTCTTAAGTGTTAACTTTTTTGACTTGATTTAATACAGAAAGTTGCAAATATAGGGAAGAACCTCCATATACTTAAATAAACTAATTGCCAGTATTTCTTTTTACTTTGTCCTAATTTTTTCTGTGGATGTGCTTAAGTATACACACTCATACATATACATATGTATTTTGTATATGTCTTTTTCTTTCACTTTTTTTCTGTGCACATTTAAGTTTAGAATCACTCAGAATAAGTTGTAGACATGACTCTTTGCATCCATGGTGTCTAAGTGAACATTTTTTACAAAGAAAAATAATCACCATAGAGGGATCAGATAAAGAAAATTATCTAATGATAATCTATAGACTTTATTCATATTTCTAATCTGTAAACTTTCTTGACCTTAATGTTTATAGATCTCATTTGTATTTCAGATTAAAAATGTTGCTTATATCATTTCATTCTTTGCATTAACTTACAAGTTGAGTTATATGTCTTTTTTGGAGCACTAAAATAGGAAAGTAAAGTGATAATTCAAAAATAATTCACTTTATCTGGGGAAACTGCAAATTTTAAGCAATTTTTCCTTCATAGTGTTACTTAATGAAGATGGATGGGGTCATAGCTCAGTGGTAGCTCATCTCGCATACGCCAGGCTCTAGTTTAATCCCCAGCACTGCTGTATCCTGTCTCTCTGCCTCTGGCTTCACTCTCTCAAATACATTTTTCACAGTAAGCAGAATGTGTAAAAGTCAAATCTGATTATATTCCACTGATAAAACCATTTCACTTGGCAGCTCAAGAATCAGCCAACTTCTCTGAAAAGAGCCTGATAGTAAAGTTTAGGTTTTATGGGCCAACACAGCTATGCTTTTCTAGTTTCAAAGTAGCCATAGACAATCCATAAACAAGTTTGCATGGCTATGTCCCAGTAAATTATATTTATAAAAACAGGTGAAGGTCTGATTTGGCCTGTGTGTTATAATGCGATGACCTCCAACAGGCAGCATTTTATTTTCCCTAAATGAAACATGAAGCACACTGCAAATCTTGGCTGCTTCTTCCTTTGCATACCTTCCTAATCAGTAGATACAGTTTTACTTTTTTATGCTACTTTTATTCCCTCTTACTAGCTCTCCACAGATAACAGTCTTTGAAATTTTAGAATTATTTTGCAACAACCATTTTATGGATCTGCCCACTTCTGTGTTCATTAGTCATTCGTCTGGTCCTTGCTGTTAGATTATAAATTTTTTGAGAACAGGAAGTGTGATGACTTTATCTATGCAGCACTGTCATGCTCTTCAACCAGAACTGAAAATTTATTTATTTTGTTATTTATTTATTCATTCATTTTAGTATAGACAAGGTTTAAAACCATATATTTTTTAGAGGTAGACTTACGATGTAGCTCAGTTTCTTAAAAATTTTGTTTTGCTTTAATTTATAGAGACAAATAAAAAGTGGTGTGTTTTGGAAGGAGGATTCTTGAGTTACTATGAAAATGATAAGTCTACTACACCTAATGGCACCATTAACATCAGTGAAGTTATCTGCCTGGCTATCCACAAAGAAGACTTCTATTTAAATACTGGGTAGGTCTACTATTAAACAGCTAAGAATGGAAAGGTATTTACAGATCATTACCATACCAGATAAAGAGGATTTTGTTAAAATTTCAGGTCTTTGGTTTTTCCCTCCAAAAGGATTTAATGGTACCTAAAAGTTCCTTAGGGAAGCTCCTAGAAGTTGGAGAATTAAATAACCTAGGTAATATGAAAGGCAACATGCTTGCATGCAATCCTAAATAGATTTATTACATCCCAATAATTATTGTAACATTTTGATTTAGGCATTATTTTAAATAGTGGTAAAATTTATGTGTTTGGTTAATGAATGCCATGGTAAAAATGTTCAGTGTTGATTGGCTCACATTAAAGCAAAACACATCAAATATATTGAGTAGCATATTCAGTGCTAATTTCTGAAAGATCTCCTTTGTCATTTTGATAGTCTGAAGAAGTTGCAATTAAAAGATTAAGTATTAGTAATGTAATATGTTTGAGATACATAATAGTTTAAATGGATTCTGTGAAGAGTTTTAGAAGCAGCATGTAAGATCCTACATTTCACTACATATGAAAAACTATTAAAATCTAAGTGAACACAAATGAATCAGCATTTCTCAGAAAAGCAGTTGTCTACTAAATACATGAAAAAAGTGTTCATTGTTTCTTGCTATGAGAGAAATGCAAGTTAAAACCATACTTAGATTCCGGGTTACTCCAAAAAGAATGGCCATTATCAAGAATCCAATGCAAATTCTAGTGAGGGTGAAGTTGCAAAGGAACCCTTCTTCATTGTTGGTGGGAATGTAAACTAGTACAGCCATGTGGAAATCAGTGTGGTGTTTTCTTCAAAAAACTAAAAGTTGAATTCCATTTGATTCAGATACTCCCATTCTATGTATCTTCCCAAAAGAGTTAAAGACATCATCATATTACAGGATACATGCACACTCATGTTTATAGCAGAACAATTTATAATAGAAAAATCTTTAAGCAGCCTGTGTCCATCAGCAGATGATTGGATAAAGAAACGTGGTGTTTATACACGGTGGAGTGCTACTGTACCATAAGGAAGGATAAACTCAAGTCATTTGTATATACTTTGAAATCATAATGTTAAGGGAAATTAATCAGACATACGTGCTTAATATTATTGCAGGATTTGTATGAAAAACCTAAAGTATAAATAGAGCAAGTTAAAAAATAGTAGGAAGTAGAATATAGATATTTCAGTAAGAGGGAAGGGACCTAGAAAAAGAGGGAGTGGAAGGGAAGAGAGGTGGGGGATGCAGAAAAAGCATTGAGATATGTTGTGTACATGTTCCAACTTCCACAAGTGTATTATCATTATGTACTGTAAATATGTACTAATAAAAAATTGGAGAAAATCTAAACCAAAAGTTTTATAAGGGCACCGAATTTTAATAAATTTTATATGTGGGAAGAGATTTGTAGGGATTTTAGTTACATAAAATCATGTGAACTGTATTGTTGTTAAATAATTACAACATTAGATTATGTCATAATGGCCAATATATGAGCATTGTATACCAGTATTACATTAGGCAATAATGATCAGTAGCCGGGCGTGGTGGTAATCCCAGCACTTGGGAGGCTGAGGCAGAAGGATCCTTGGGAGTTCAAGACCAGCTAGGCTAGTGAGCTCAAGGCCAGCCTGAACTGCATAGAGAGACTGTTCCTCAAAAAGACCAAAAAACAAAACAACCAAAAAAACCCAATAATGACCAATATAGTAATTGAGATGACTTACTTTCTGGTACAGGTAGGTTGATTTTGATATTCGCAAAAGTAATCCTTAGCTAATATGCTTTTGTTTTAATCTTAATGGTGCTTGTATTCCAAATGAATAACCAATTTAATATGGCTTACCATAGGGTATGAAAACAAATGCCTTCTATGTATTGCTTACCTAATAAGATACATATTAAAAGAATTAATATTACCTTATGGCAACATATGAACATACTGAAAATAAAAATTCTGATAAAGTGCTGTTGATACAAGTGGATTTGCATGTTTGATGATGAGGTTACAAAATACTTTTATAGCTCAATTCTGAATTGCCATAATCTGCTATAGAATTTGAGGTTTGTATTGTAGTGTAGACACCGAGCAATTATGCAGATTTGTATTTTAGGAAAAGAAGTAACAGAAGTGGTAAAAAGAGATTGGAGAAGGCTGGGGATTTTTAGCTCAGTGGCATAAGCGCCTGCCTTGCAAGCAGGAATTCGTGAGTTTGATCCCTGGTACCAATTTAAAAAAAAAAAAAAAAAGGGATTGGAGGAAGAAAGATCATAACTGCCAGGAATTTAGAAGAAATAATTAAAAGGAGGAGGGGTTAGTAGGAGAACCTCTGTTTGAGTTGACAAGGTGAAATAACTGTACTGAGAGAAAAGTTGGTGTTCAGAGAATATTAAGTTAAACCTCAAGGTTTGGAGCTTACTGATGAAGTTGGTGGAAATGCCTTTAAATTGGGACATGACACAAGATACATTAGCTTTGGTATATGGTATTTCTCAATCTTAAGGCGGTGCTAGGACACATACTTAGCATGTACCAGGAAAGAGTTGAGCTGAGGATGAGGAAATCAAGAAAAGATTCAAGACATGAGACGTTACCTTTGTATTTTCTGTAGCAAAAAAGTAAAATTGTGTCGTGAGAAGAAATGATAGATGGAGGGCCTGCGAAGTAAGATAAGAACAGGATTAAAAATAGGTCAGTTTTTTGAGCATTTTGAGTAATGCAAGGAGTTGTCTTAGGGGTAATTTGGCACCAAGGAGAGTCCTTGCAAGCTAATCCATGATGAACATCCAGGGCATCAAAAAGCCATGGCACAGAGTGATTAATCAGAAAAAGTAGTTCATCTGTCTGATCTAGTGTGTTCCATTTAGCTCATTTAAATAAACTACAAAACAGAAAAATACTATAAGGAAGTTGACTTTACATTATTCCATTCTTAAAAAGGAATTTAATTAAAACCTTGATATTTGTGTTGTCCTCTTAAGGTTGTAACTGATGATATCTTTGTTATTTGTGCATGTTGTAGGCCTGTTTTTATTTTTGAGATCTACTTACCCTCAGAGCGTGTGTTTTTATTTGGAGCTGAAACATCTCAAGCTCAAAGAAAATGGACGGAGACTATAGCTAAGGTATTTAAATACTATATTCTGTTGTATAAATCAAGAAATAATTCTTAACTTGGAGTCAGTACTTGAGCTGCAAGAGTCCAGGAAATTTTAAATACGATTCAAGGAATAAGGTGCATATTTCAGTAGATTTTCAAAGGTTATAGTCAAAGGATGTTAAATGCCACCTTCTGGTACCTGAAACAGACAAGAAATTAACATAGTACCTTAGGAAAATAATTTTCAGATTCAATAAAAGGTATTAATGGACAAAAGCATGAAAATTTTAAATTACCACATTTTAAAATTACCACATTTAAAAAATTTTTAAAACTACCACAAACCCACAAAGAAAATATTTCCCTTTTTCAACAATATATACAGCAAGAAAGAATGACTTAAGATAATACTGTTTGAAGATTGATTTTAGTTGTTCAGTTTTAAGATTGATACAACTTTAAATAAGATGGTTTGACTTATGGGTTACATAGGAATCTTTAAAAGAGAAAATATAAGATGAGTGTTTAACCTCTCTCATATCTGTAGATAGGGAAAGAGTTTCCAATTTTCACTGTCTTTATCACTTTTCTGTATTTGTTTTAACAGCATTTTGTTCCCTTTGTTGCCGAAAACTTAACAGAAGCTGATTATGATTTGATTGGTCAACTCTTCTACAAAGATTGCCACGCTCTGGATCAGTGGAAGAAAGGCTGGTTTGCTATAGATAAATCTAGTTTGCGTTTTTGCCTTCACATGCAAGAAGCTCAAGAAGATAGAATGCATTTAAGACGACTGCAAGAGCTAAGTAAGTTGTTTCTTAGCCCCTTGGAGATATAATTCTATACTGTATACAGTAATGTTAGCTTTTATATCAGATTATAATAGTTTATGTCTGAATTTACACCTGAATAGTAGCAATAGTTGTGTCTTTCTCAATATTTTGATTAATATTTGAAAACTACATTTATGCTTTTTCTAATCCCTTCAGCAACCAGCACAGTGGTTCAAAATGGGGAAAAATTGGATGTCTTATTCCTGGTAGAAAAAGGGAGGTGAGTGCCTTTTTGCTTTTTAATATTTTATCTCAATAAGTCTGGGGAATGAGATATAGTATTTTGGTTGTCTTCTTAGAAAAGAAACTAATATTTTACACTGTTAGGAAAGTTTTCTAAATTATAAACTATAAACTTTCTTTGTAGAAAGAATATACTGAGGAAGTCTACATATTTTTATGCTTTTTATCACCAACAACAATCAATATTTGTAATTTTCTGTAAATCTAGATTCCTTTGAGTCATTCGTTTTCAAGTATTTGGAAAGTAGTTTGATGTTTCTAAATTGATTTTCAGTGTCAGTGTGATATATGTTCATCTATGCATGTGGGTGATTCATAGCTAGAATTTATTTTTTGAATTTAGTTTTTCAAGAACTATTAATTATTTACTGTATTGTAAGTCTCTCAGGTATTGAGGATACAGAGAATCAGTTCCTCTGCCCTCATAAAGCTAATAGGGAAAACACATAAAAAGTACTTACGTTACATTGTATTCATCAGTTTTAAATTCAACAATGAAAAACAAGCTAAGTAGAGATTGCCTAGAACAATATTCTGTTTTAGTTAGGATGATAAAAGAGGGAATCTGTAATAAAACATCTGCATAAATTGAAGAAGCAAACTCTTCAGCTATTCAGATGCTGTAGTCAAAGCACATGGTCAAAAATAGCTGAAGATCCTTAGAGAGTTTTGTGCTTCACATCTGCAGGGGTCTACAGAGAATGTGCTGTATCAGGGGAGAGTTTGTGAATGAGAAGATGAGAGGAAGTGATCTCAGGAGTATACCAGGCTAGATCACAGAGAGCCCTAGCGTATATATTTGAATTTGATTTTAAATTTCATGGGAAGCTGCTCAGATTGAAAGCTGGGAAGTTTAGTGATCTCATTTCTGTTTCTAAAGGACTACTCTGAATCCAGATGAATGAGCTTCAAGACAAGAGTCAATCTGGGGTCTAGTTATAATGATTTCATAGAGACCAGTGAACAGTTGGGTGATCTGATAAATAGTACACAGGAGTGGTTGAATACACTGTAAAAGAATAGTTATCTGGGTCTGTTGATCAATTGGTGTAACATTAAGTATGGGCCCAAAGTTTTTGACCTGAATAATTTTATAAAGGATTGTACTGTGTTTTTCAGATAACAAATATATGAAGAATAGTGGGTAGGATCAGTAAGTTTAGGGCAGTAAATCAAGCATTGGGCCATGGGAATGGTATTTTGAAAGTATCTGTTTAATGATGAAGAGAAATGAACAGGCAGCTACATATGAAGATTTTGAATTAAATGAAGTGGCTACACCTCGAAATAGAAATGTGGCCTCAAGTACCATTATTTAGACAAAGACTGAAATGGGTTCCCTGAAAATAATGAGTATAGTTGGGAAAAGGTGTTAAGAATATAGCCAAAGTCCTCCAGTATTCAGAGGACAGAAAGAGAGGATGATCAAGAAAAAGAACCTAGCAATAGGCAGCTATGCACATATCAGAACAATGAGGAGGCAGTATTTCTTGGTATATTGTTTTTTTTTTTTTCTCCATTTCTTACCATTTTGGGGGAAAAAAAAAAGTCACACTGCTTTATAAGGTTCTACTCTAGTAACTCCAGATAACTTTTAACGATTTTGAACATAATTCAAAAACATAAGTAAATTGACCTTTGTCCTTATTTTTCTTGCTAGGAACAAGAATAGACTTTTCAAAGAACAGACTTCTTTGAATCATCTTTCATAAAAGCTCTACAGAGCAATGCATGTGCTGATTAGATGTTTATGTTAAAGTGAACTTTTTTTTTTAACTTAAAGGCATAATTAGGACTTTTTATTTAATTCTTGGGTTATGATGGTTAGTGACATTTAAATTCTGATTTTTGTACAACAAGATGATTTTACTAAAGTGCCACAGTACTTTTAATTATATTTTCAGAAGGCAGTATTATGTATGCATAGGAAGCATTACGGCATGATAGTACTAGAAATGTAGGTGCAATGTTTATAGTTATCTATTATTATTTGTGGAAGGCTTGCTGCTTGCTGTTTCCTTGACAGGAAAAAATAACAATATAAACATGGTAACTAAGATTACAGAACTTGTGCTTTTAAGCAGACAAATATCAACTTGATGGTCAAATTTATTTTATCATTTTTCTTTATTCTCCGTGTACTAGAGCCAAGTTGTTTTTCTACCATTTTTAACCTGTAAAGACTGTGACCCGTGTACATGTGCTTCATTTGAGAAGTTAAACATGACTTAATTACTCAGTTTGATGGATTTTGTTTAGTGCTTACTGTGAATGGCCTGTATTCACTCATTATTGCAAGACATGGAAGTCAGACGACTATGTTTTGGTGTTTTGTGTATGTTGATGTTTCTTCTGTCTTCTGGATGGCAGGGCTCAGTGTGAAATCCATGTGTGATAGTTATTTCCCAAGTTGCTGGAATACTGGAAAACTAATCTGATTCCAAAGTAATAGCTAGAGGTGCTTTGTTACGTTTTTGTAGTCATTTAAAAATTTTTAAAAATCTGTGTCATACTAGCCAGTTCATTTGAATTTCTTTCTTTTTTTGTTTCTTTTTTTTTTTTTTTTTTTTTTTTTTTTTTTTTTTTTTGTGTGTGTGTGTGTGTGTGTGAAAGAGAAGTGTAAGGAATAAGCCAAAATAAGAGTGAAGAAATGTGGGATAAGTGTATAACCACATTATTTCCTTAAATCTCCTTGAATAGCAGTCCTGCCACACAAACATTAAAAATATGTGTTCAGTACATACTTATCATAGTTTAGTTGCTTTCCTGTTTTTTTTTTTTCTGAATCAGTAGTAACTCAATCACATCAGTGACACAATGATGACAATGCTTAAAATTTATTATGCGTCAGGCAATATTTGAAGTATTTAAATTGCCTTCCAGTGCACATCTGGTGTTGAAAATTATTTGTTTTGTTTCTCGGTTTGGTTTTGTTTTGTTTTTTTGCGACAAGGTTGAGCTCACTATGTAGTTCAGACTGGTCTTGAAATCACTATCCCAAACTGGCCTCAAACTTCTGGCAATGCTCCTGCCTCAGCCTCTGCTGATGCTGGGATTACAGGTGTGTACCACCATGCCTGGAAAGAATTACCTTTTTGAAATCAGAGTACATTCAATTTAAAGACTTACTCAAAAGTTTTTTCTTTGTTTTATTTTAAAAAAAACAAATGTTAAATGGTCATTTACTAATATGTTTATATAGGTCATTCTTAAGAATCACGTTAACAACCAAAAATTTGCTTGTGTAACCTAAGCTACTAGTATTTAAAGTTTCTACATTTATTAAAAAATGAAATGTTCACTATAAAACTTTATTAATAATACATTTATATAGTTTTCACCTACTTAAAGGTAGAATAAATAGAAGAGAGATTAATAGTGTGAATAAAGAATCAGCCTGATAGATGGTGCCTATAACAGGGTTTGTACCCTGACAGAACAAACTTGGCAATTTTCCCAGCACATGGCACCTTGTGCAGTGCCAGCATGGTCTTGTGTTTACCTTTTATTCACATATTATTTGTACCCAAATGTATGTGTATATGTGTATTATGCAAATATGTAACTTCAAGCAGGGAATAGTGGAAAAGGAGCAGATTTGAGAAAGTACTTGGAAGATAATGAGTTTAACTTTAGCCATATTTAATATGAAGTGCTATAAAGACATCTACAGAGAAATTGCTAGGAGAACGTTATTTGTAAGAATCAGATATTTGCACAAAGTTAATAAGGTGGAGATATAGATTTGGGACTTACCAGTACATAAAGAAAGAAGATAAAATTGTTTCGGAGTCTATCTTATGAGAAGGGAAGAAGTAATGTGTTGGAGACTTGATGAATGCGTATTATTTGGAGTTGGCGAGGAGGAAAAGTTGCTTGTTAAGTCAGTGACTGAGGCAAGAAATCAACAGAGAGGGGCCTCCAAAGTCCAGAAAGAGGACAGTTATGCATTACATAACAATAGGGATGTATGTTTTAAGAAATGTATCATTAAGCAATTTCATTATGTTAACATGAGAGAGTGGCTAACAAAACCCTAAATGGTATATCCTACCATTTGTCAAGTGTGTTTATCAAGTGTGTGTGTGCACACTTGTGTGCATGTGTTTGTGTGTGCATGCATGTGTGTGCATGTATTAAGCCACAGAGCCATAAACAAGTGTTATGATGGAGTCCACCTATTTACTTCAAGGAGAGTGAAAGTAATCACACAGGTATTTACCGGATTAAGGTTGGAACTGACTAAAAGAACAGCTGACGACAAGTGTGCAGAGGGTACCTGCAGGATTAGAGAGGTAAGATACTGGACCTAGAAAGAGAAGGCATGTACAGTGTGCTTCCGGATAGCTTGGACTTTTGCATGTTGAAAGAAACATCAAATGGGTGATATTGAAGGCATAAGAAGGACAAGAAGGAGGCAGTCAACTCTAGCAGCTTAAAAAGAGGAATTGGTGGCTGGTATTGGTCGTTGGTAGCTCTGAATCTGGTACTGAAATGTTGGGAGATGCCAATTTTTGGGTTCTTTGTGATTAGGAGATAAAGATGACTCCAGAGCTCTTGGCCTGGGTAGCTCTGTGAATTACCAAGGCTGGGAATATGTACTTCTGCTCAAGTACACAAACAACTACTTAATGATAGCTGTGATCCTGGAAGAGCTGTTTGAATACTGTATCAAAATAAGACAGTTTCATTGCACTGCTCTTTTTCATGTCTCCGGGGCCTTGGGCAATAATGACTGTATCCTAAGTAGATTATGGCAGACTTGTCAATGGCGGGTGAAAATGTGGCTTTTGGAAACAACTTCCAGTTATTCATGTTGATGGACTACAGGGATAGTGTGCATAATTAAAAAAGAGAGAAACATAATCAGCTATAGATTCTAACTTTTATTATTTTTGCATCGGTTTCAATAAAAATCTAATAAATTCAATGAAATAATTTCACATTTTTCTCTGTCCTTGTCTACTTTTGATTAAA